ATGTGTGTGTAGCAGAGTGCTGTATGAATGTGTGTGTAGCAGAGTGATGTATGAATGGGTGTGTTGGAGTTAAATGAGGGCACAGATTGTGTTATAAAGAGCTTTGAGTCTCTGGATTAAATAGAAAGGTGCTATATAAGTACAGTCCATTTACCACTTAATATACAAATATTGTAAAAAAAAATTGAGAAATCTTTAGAAATTGGGATTATTATATATATATATATATATATATATATATATATATATATATATAAGCATTCAGATGTGTGGGTTTCGTCTGTGGACCTGTTTGTCCAACAGGTCCAACAAAGACTGGAAATACAAATGACTGTCCTGACTCTGGTTAGTCTTATCCGGACCAGGAAAAGACTAAAACCAGAGTCCAGTCTTTTAAAGAATGTGTAGGAACTCGTGTCAGTTCTCTGTTTCTGTGTTTGTGTTCTCACGCTGGAGCTGTTCAGGAAGTTCCCGATAGCAAGCAGTGCTGCCAGAATCCTCTTAAAGGTCTCATTTTTAGCCAGTTGTTCCATTCCCAGCTTCAGGTCAAAGAGCGGCTCTGCGATCTCCTGCAAAGAGCGACACAGAGCATCCGTCATGACAAACATTGAGCATGGACAGTAAGAAGAGTCATGAGCATATTTAATGACCACTGGTGGTTGTTAGAAAGAGTCCCTGTCATCATACTGTTGATATCACACTTCCGGAAAGATGGCACCCGTGGTACATGGCTTGCAATCCACCTCTGCTGATGGTGTTCGGATTATTTATGTTTTCTTCGTTTTTTATCTGGGACATAAACTCGCTGCTGGTGCATGACCGACAACAGCTTCTGGATCTTAGTTTTTCAGTCACCGATGTCGCATATTTGGTCCAATATAAGCGTACCTCTGGACCCCCCCCCCCCCCCCCCCCCCCCCCACGCGCGCCCCCCCCCGCCCCCCCCCCCCCCCCCCCTTGCTGGTGGACGGGCCAGCTTACCTCCGCTGTGCTCCTCACCTGCCTGCCCGGAGATATCGCTTCAGACGCCAGGGAAAACGTGCTGGGCGGCTGGTAAAGCTTAAAGCCCTGCGCGCTACATCTTCCTCTCCAGCTGGTGGTCATGGTTTCCATTGCCAGCTTCCCGCATGCCCGGAACTGGTAAACAACGGGAGTTGTCAGCCAGTGCGCCGCACGGACTGACCCAGAGGAGCTGTTATTGAAAACCTGAGGCCACTGATGCGCGCAAACTTCACCGCTGCTGGCTCCACTTTGGACAGTATCCGGATGTGTTTGGTTAACGCAAGGTCTGTTACCTACAAAACATTTATCATCAGGGACTACTTTCAAGAGTACGAGTTGGACTTTTTCTGCATCACAGAGACTTGGATGTCTACGGGTGAGTCCAGCGCCTTGACAGAATTATTGCCACCGAACTGTCTGTATTTTAACACACCGCGGCCATCAGGCCGGTGCGGTGGTGGATTATTAACAATATTCAAATCAACTTTTGACTGTAAACAACTACCCATCCCAGTTTCCCACGCCAGCTTTGAGCTGAGCATCATTGAACTCGGCCACTCGCCTCCGACGTTATTTGCACTCATCTACCGCCCACCTCGATCTAAGGATTTCATAAATGAGTTTTCTGATTTCTTGGCTGAAATCACACCAAAATATGAGCATGCTTTCATTATTGGGGACCTTAATTTGCATGTGTGCTGTCCTGAGAAGACCTTGGTTAAGGACTTTTTAGATTTATTGGACTCATTTAATCTAACTCAGCATGTAAACGGTCCCACCCAAGAGCGCGGACATACACTGGACCTTGGACCACGTGATGTGACTGTTAGTAATCTTGAAATTGGTGATGATGTTTTTTCAGACCACATGCCAGTCCGGTTTGAGTTCACCCTTCCCCATCTAACTCCTAAGCCGCACATTCCTGCACGTAGTAGCCGGGCCATTAACCATCTCACTGCCGCACGTTTCACAGATGTTTATAACTCTGAAATGATCATTCAGCCCCCGGTGTTTCTCACCTCCACTGAGGAGCTGACATCCCAGTTCAACTCTGTCTGCTTAAAGACTCTGGATCACGTTGCACCTCTTAAAACCAAAAAAATCAAAACTCAGAGCAGAACCTTGGCTGAGTGACGTCACCAAGGCCGTTAGGCAGCAATGTAGGAGGGCAGAGCGCAAATGGAGGAAAGACTGGCTGCAGGTCTCTTTTCAAATATTTAAAGAGAGTTGGCGCCGTTATCAGAAAACAGTGAAAGCTGCTAAATCCAAATACTTCTCTGATATAGTTACCTCAAACTCTCACAACCCACGTGTCCTCTTCTCTACCCTAAACTCTGTTCTCCACCTCACTGAACCATCACGTCTGGAAGCTTCAACTGAGCTATGCGAGAACTTCTTACATTTCTTTTTGGAAAAAATTGCGACCACTCGGGCTCTCATTTCCCCTCCAACTCATGACCCATCCATCTCACCTCAATCTGTAGCTCTATTTGACCATTTTGAACCCATCACTCTATCTTCTCTACAGCAGGTCATGTGCAGCTTGAAACCTTCTGGTTCCCCCTTTGATGTGGTTCCCCCTCGACTACTAAAGGAGTTTTTTTCCTACTCTAGGTCCGTCCATTCTTGCAGTAGTTAAACAGTAGTTTATCCACTGGTGTGGTGCCAAAAACCTTTAAACATGCTGCTGTCCAGCTTCTCCTGAAAAAAAAACAAACCTTGACCACTCAGTTGTATCCAACTTCCGGCCTGTCTCCAAACTCCCATTTGTTTCTGGAGAAAACAGTTGAGTCCCAGTTGAAGTGCTTCCTGGAGGGCCACGCCATCTTAGAGCTATTCCAATCTGGCTTTAAACCTCTCCATAGCACCGAAACTGCCCTGCTGAAGGTCTTTAATGACATTTTCTTAACCACTGATACCGGTGATTCTGTGCTGCTTTTCCTGTTGGACCTCACAGCCGCCTTTGACACCATCGACCATGAGATCCTCATTGCTAGGTTGGAGGAGTGGGTGGGCATCACAGGGTCAGCCCTCAATTGGTTCAGATCTTATCTCGCTGACAGATCCTTTTGTGTCTCCATCAAGGAGTTTAGTTCTGCAGCGGCAGAGCTTAAATGGGGTTTCCACAGGGGTCCATCTTGGGTCCCCTCCTATTCTCTTTATACCTGCTGCCGCTTGGTGCTATTTTCTAGAAACACAACATGCCCTTCCACTTCTATGCCGATGACTGTCAAATTTACTTCCCACTAAGACACAATGACACATGCTCTATTCAACCTCTGCTCGACTGCCTAGCTGACGTCAGGGACTGGATGGCTCTAAATTTCTTAAGTTTCAATGAAAAGAAGTCTGAAGTCATGTTGTTCCCTCCCAACGACACAATCACAAACCACTGTATCGACCTCCCCGCTCTAACCCTGTCAGAAAAACAAAGAGTCACTAATCTGGGAGTGATAATTGAAACTTAACAGTCACGTAAACATGATTGCTAAATCATGTTTCTTCCAACTGAGGCAGCTGTCTAAACTGAAGCCCATATTGTCCAAAAATAACCTGGAGACAGAAATACATGCATTCATTACATCTAGGCTTGATTACTGCAATTCGCTCCTGGTTGGTATCAGTCAGACCTCCATTGCACAACTACAACTGGTCCAGAATGCAGCAGCCCGATTTTTAACCAGTACAGGCAAAAGAGAGCACATTACACCAGTTTTGGCCTCACTGCACTGGCTACCGGTTCACCTTCAAATCCAGTTCAAAATACTTCTGTATGTCTACAAATCGCTTAACAGTCCACCCCCCCCCCCCCCCAATCTCTCTGATCTGCTACAACCGTATGTCCCACCACGTTCCCTGAGGTCAGCGGACCAGTTGCTCCTCACAGTTCCAGGAACTCGTCTTAAGCACAGAGTGGACAAGGCCTTCTCTGTAGCAGGACCCAGACTTTGGAACAAGTTAATTCTGCTCGTCAGACAGGCCCCCTCCCTCTCGGTTTTCAAGTCCCGTTTAAAAACCCACTACTATTCGGTAGCTTTCAACACCAGATGATCTGTGTTTGAACCTGTATGCTCCACACTGGTTAGTCGTCATTATCTGCATCGTTTTTATGTCTATATTTCTGATTTACTTCATTTTGTATATTGCTTTGTGTGTTACCCGATGTTCTGTCTGTACAGCACTTTGGTTGGCCTTGTCGCGGTTTTAAGTGCTCTATAAATAAAATGGTATGGTATGGTATATGATCTGAATCTTTATGGACTCACCAACTGAAGCAAAATGTTTTGGTTTTGTTGTGAACAGCTTCGTCTCAAAGGTTCATTCTGATCCACAACATTTTTAAACAACCAATTTCATTAGATGAAGCATCCAAAATAATAAAAAACAAAATGGAACAAAAAAACAAGAAAAATTCACAAACTGCCTAAAATACAGAACTACCTCATTTTAAAGAAGGTTTAAAACAAAACAATTAATTCACAGCCATGTGCTCTACAACAGTAGCTTAATAACTACTCCATGAATCCATCCATCCAACATTCATCCATCCATCCATCCAACATCCATCCATCCATCCATCCACCATCCATCCAACCATCCATCATCATCCAACATCGATCCATCCAACATCCATAATCCATCCAACATCTATCCAACAACCATCCATCATCCATCCAACATCCATCCATCCATCCGTCCATCATCCATCCATCCATCCATCCAACATCCATCCATCATCTATCCAACATCCATCCATCATCTATCCAACATCCATCCATCCAACATCCATCCATCCAACATCCATCCATCCATTCATCTATCCAACATCCATCCATCCAACATCCATCCATCCATCCCTCCATAAATCAATCCATCCATCCATCCATCCATCCCTCCATAAATCAATCCATCCATCCATCCATCCCTATTAGTAGTCAGGTCACAGAGCAATCAGGTCCATGAATGAAACCCACACATCCTTCTCCCCAGCCACATTTTCCAGCTCCTCCTTGGGGATCCCAAGGAGAGGATAATCATTCCAGTGAGTTTTGGGTCTGCCCCAGGGTCTCCTCCCAGTAGGACATGCCCATAAAACTCCAAAGGGTAGGTATCAGTGGAAACATCCTAATCAGATGCCTAAGCTCCCTCAGCTGGCTTGATTTAATACGGAGGAGCAGCGGATCTACTCCAGGCTCCCACAGAATGTGAGAGCTTCTCACCTTGTCTCTAGAGCAGAGACTGTAGGCCCCATGAAGGAAGCTCATCTCAGCGCTTGTATCCAGGATTTTGTTCGTTTGAACATATAATCCATACCTCATGACACAAGTGAAGGTTGGAATGTAGATGGACCTGGATGGACCATGGCTTCAGACATGGAGCTGACTCTCAGCCCAGCTGCACCACACTCAGCTGTAAATCGCCTCAATGCACACTGAATCCTGGAACCTATCCTGGAACCAGGAACCTGTACCTGGAAAAGTGCTAGTGATAGTCCACCCATCCTTCATACAGACAGAACACTAACATTTCTGTCAGGTTTTATGGTGGCCGCTGGGTGCAGAAACAAACTTATTGAATAGATCAGATTTTATTGCTACAAGAACTGAATAAACCAGATAATCTATAATCTTTTATTTTGTAATCCCAAAAGTGCATTTGTGCACATCTGCTCTATCAATGCAGTTGCACTGTGCACATTCGTGTATGTGAAACAGTACCAATCAATTCACATTCACAGACCTGATCTCAACACACGTGCATGTTTTAACATGTCATACTTTAAGCACAAGTCGAGCAGATAATGTTAATATATAGATAATGACCATTAAACAAGTAGTACGCTGATGACCACGTCACTGAGGGATTTGAATGTTTGTAGTTTTTGAGATGAGTGTTTTTCTGCGCTGTAACTGAACAGGAAATGTAAACCTTAATGTTTTGGTTGCAAGATATTTAAATAGGTAGGACTTACACTGTGGAGAAGAACAGAGGGAGGTTGTTGATTTTTGTTCATTTGTTGTTTGTTCAAGGCAGCGCAGACTGACAGATCCTGGTGAGTGGAGGGAGCAATTTTAACCACCACCTGGTACAATGGTGGAGCCAGGGGGTGGCCAATGATGGCCTTGACCCCATAGATTCATCTTCAGCCACTACAATCAGTTGATGAAACTATATTTTAAGCAATTTAACATCTAGAAGTATGATAGAGGTGGCCAGTTTACATATATTTATAGTGGTGGTCCTCTTGGATATTGACTTGGCAACCCAATTTTTGATAGTGACCTATACACCTAGATGCAGCTACAAATTACAATGAAAGTTGTCACGCTGCTTATTTTTGAAGATGACATGCTCACAACACACGGACAGATGGATGAGTTGGTATCTCCAATATATTTCTGACTCCCCCTTTTCACTCTGCAATGAGGGACAGAAGGGGACCTGCAGTCAGATCACTAACCTTCTCCAGAACTTCGTAGTTGAGTTTGAATGCCCAGAGCTGCAGACGGGGGGTCAGGGCATTGATGGAGGCCAGGGTTAACAGGAACTGTTCGGCTGTCCCCAGCGGGATGTCAGGATTGGCCAGCTGAGCCTCCTGGATCTTCAGCTTCTCCTCCTGTGATGGCACCATGCTGAGGATCTTCTGCTCAGGACACAAGAAGAGGGCTGTAACAATCACCACACACCGATCCATTATCCAATGACTCTGCGTAGACAGGAAGAGGGCCCTACCTCAATCCCCTCCTTACTGATGGCAAACTCATCAAAGTTGAGGATTGCATTCTTAATGACGTGGACAGCAGGCAGGACGGTCAAACCAATGTTGATGGCATTACTTCTCTTGGGGTCCAGAACGAGAATCTCAGACTTCTTGACCTCTGGTCCTTTCTGCACAAAACCAAGAGGTCAGAAACACAAAGAGGGCAGAGAAACAAAACAAATGTTGCATTCATGCTGCGTCACCGATACAAACAGAATCTGTTCCAGATGATTCTTTCAGTTTGACCAACTATGGAGAAATGAACGGTCTCTAATTTTATCTTAGTTTCATTTTCATGCAAAAAATATATCATGTAAAAACAAGTATTTGATCCTCAAGCAAAATGTTGTACTTGGTGGGGAAAGCTTTGTTGGTGAATACAGGAGTTCATCTAAAGGTTTTTACATCTCCAACATAGTCAAATCCTTTTTTCTTCCACTGGATGTTACTGTAGCTGATACAACCGGCGACACACAGGAGAGAACGAGCAGTATGCCAAAGACCTCGTCGCTGAGGGATCTGAACAGTTAATGTTTGTAGTTTGGAGCATAGGCATCACAACCATTATATGTGAAGGGGACAAGTCCCCCCCACATAAAAAAAAATGTTAATTTGGACCCCCCCACTTTTACTATGAAACATTAGTTCAGGCGGCGTAGTTTCTCTTTCTTCGTGAACAAATCCATTCCGCTTGATTAATAGGAGAATACTCAATCTAACAAAACTCCACTCCAGGTTTTCCTGGTTACCTCCAGGTTACCTCCACCTCTACACACAGAGCAGAAACTGTGCAGGCAGCCGCTGCTGAGTCTCCTACTTCAGTAGAAAACGTGCACAGGTGCAGGAGATGGAGACACCTCTGTGTTGCTCACTCGCCAGTTTAGCAGCTTAGTGCGGGCAGTTGTTGACCAGGGGTTGATCATCAACATATATTCATGTTAGGAGGATGCTTGAGTGCAGCGCTACATCTGTAGCATGTTCTCTTAGCAGTAACTGTGACGCTGTAAGACGCTGCAGGTATAAGAGACGCTGTGTGTTCAGGTGCATTAAAGTTTAAATGTCTTTAAAACCCCACACCTTATTGTCCTCTAGCTTCGTGAGAAACATCATTTAGATGAGTAGTGTTGAACACAAGTAAAAATGTCTAGTGGTGATGTTTTTATTTCTCTAATTTCTCTATAAACACAAATAGTGCAGATCTGACGCTCTGTATTAAAGTGTATTAAAGTTAAAATGTCTCTAAAACCCACAGCTGAATTTACACAAACTTGGTGAGAAATATGCTTTAAATGTGTGGAATTAAAGCAAATCTATGTGAAATGTTGCTTTTTTTGTACATTAGTGCACATTTCTTTTGAGCAACACACACGCGCGCACACACACCTACACACATCGTTGTGTCCCCCCACATTACGGATGCTTCTGACGCCCTTGGTTTGGAGAGGTGTTTTTCTGGACTGGACATGAGAGTTAAGCTTAATGATGCTGGTGTAAAATAGAGGTGATTTAAGTGGGGAGGAGTGACCCTGTATTGATGAACAGAGGGTGCTTTTTTGTGGGTGAGGATTGTGGAAAATGGAGGGAGCACGTTAATCCACCACCAGGAGCAACAGTGGAGTCATCGGTCACCACAGATGAATCTTTGAGGAAACTAAACTTTTAAGCAACATAAAAACTAGAAAGCATAATTTCCTCGATTGAATGGGGTAGACAGTTTATAGTTTATATATGGTGGTGGCCATCTTGGATTTGATAACACTCCACTGTATAAAACCAACATTTGTAAACTAGTCTCCTTCAGGTGATTATAAACTGGTCATGTCAAAGAAAACTTTGTTTCAACACCAACCAACAGATTTTTGTGCTCAGAACGAAACAAAACAACTACAAAAAATGTTTCCAGTTTCAGCCAGCGAGCTACACCAGGTTCATTTCAACTGCAGTAACATCCCATCTAGAGCTGTCATTTCTAACCCGGGCTTGGACTGACCTGAAATTCAGGCCGGGCCAAAATAATGTGCTGGATACGCGTGCCAGGTCTGTATCGGACTTTTGATTGTGTCAGCGGACGCGTGCAGCTGACGACCGTTAATAACTACAACTATAATATTATAATAACTATAATATTATAGTTACTATACTATTATTGTTATTATAATATTATAATAACTGTAATATTATAACTATAATAATCCACTGACTTGTTAATAAACAAGAAATCTTATATATTTTCCTTTCATTGAAATACATTTTTAGATCATGTCAAACTGATTTGCTTACAGAAGCAGTAAAAACTTGATTAAAATAAAAAGTTTTTTTTTTTTTTCGGGTTCGGGTCTGTATTCACAGTTAAGTGGTTGGTTTCGGTTCGGGCTCGGGAAAAAAAAAAAAAAACAGGTTCGGTCCGGCCGGGTCGGATTTTTTTTGCCCGAATGCAACTCTTATCCTATCATGGTTACCTTGGCAACCAGCAGCTCCTTAGCCTTGGACTCGAACAAGTGTTCGAGGCGGGCTGTGTCCACCTCCACCTTGTCCAGAGACGCCCACACCGTCCCGTGACCGAAGTGACACTTCTTAGGCTGGTCTGCCTGTTTCAGCTCCTTCCAGAACAACTTCACAGTCTTCCTCTTCTTCTCCTGCAATATCAAGGAGGGGCCGGGAGGAGGGGGAGGAGCACCTGGGGGAGGAGGAGGGGGAGGACCTAGACCACCTGGTGGAGGGGGAGGAGGGATGCCAGGAGGAGGAGGAGGGCCTGCACCACCTGGTAGAGGGGGAGGAGGAGGGATGCCAGGAGGAGGGGGAGGGCCTGCGCCACCTGGTAGAGGGGGAGGAGGAGGGACGGCTGAGAGGCAAGAAACCGAGGAGCTGGAGGTATTCATGTCCAAGACGTCGATGTCCTCCTCATCTTTTAGGTCTGTGAAGTCCAGGTCTTTGATCCGCAGGGCGGCGCCGCTCAGGTGCAGCTGGTTCCAGGTGTCAGCGAGGCCTCCGGGGCCCAGCAAGGCTGTCTCCAGCTGGCGGGTGTGTGTCTCTAAATCGTTACTGCTCTGCTGCCGGACCAAGCGGTTCTGATGGGACACAGAAACACTCCAATGTTACAAACTAAAAGGTCAGAGACCTCATGGATGGAAGGTGCGTAGGCACAAAACAGCTGGGTCTGCCATGTTCAACACCTGGTCCCACTCTCAGGTCGAGATGTGACAAAACAAACGCTGAGTGAAAGTGAGCTTAAATATAGACACATTGATTTGCTGACAGAATGTGCTTATTACGCAATTAATTTCAGTCAAAAGTTTCAAACTACAATGTACTGAAACTGAATATAAACCGCGCACACACTAAAAAAAAAACATTTTGTACGTATATAAGCCACGGGTGTTCACAGTGTAATGAGTGACAGAACACGGCTACTGAGAGAGATGTAAAGCTCTTGTTGTAGATCAAGATTCAACCACTAGATGGTGTTTCATCAACTTTGATTTTTCTTTTTTTTCCATTTACCCTTTATTTATACATGATTATTTAATTAATTGTTCAGTCTTTCTTCCTCCTTAGATGGCATTAATCAGGCCTCCAGTACTAATGTTAAAAATCTTGGTGTTACTTTTGATCAGGACATGTCTTTTATCCCCCACATTAAAAACGTTACTAGAACCACCTTCTTCCACCTGCGTAATATCACTAAAATTATAAACATCTTATCTAAAAATGATGCAGAAAAACTGGTCCATGCATTTGTCACATCTAGACTGGACTATTGCAATGGTTTATTATCTGGGTGTCCAAATACTTCTTTAAAACGTCTTCAGTTGATTCAAAATGCTGCTGCCAGAGTCTTAACCGGACTTAGTAGGAGAGAGCATATTTCTCCAGTTTTAGATTCTCTCCATTGGCTACCTGTCAAATCCAGAATATAATTCAAAATCTTACTTCTAACCTACAAAGCTCTCAACAACCTAGCTCCATCTTATATTACAGATCTTATCTGTTTGGAATCAGTCAGTCCTCCATTGCACGTCTACAACTGATCCAAAATGCTGCAGCCCGATTTTTAACTGGTACAGGCTATAGAGAGCACATCACGCCAGTTTTGGCCTCCCTGCACTGGCTACCCATTCACCTTCGGATCCAATTCAAAATTCTCATGTATGTTTTTAAATCACTGAACAGTTCCGCCCCATCCTATCTCACTGATCTTCTGCAGCCATATGTCCCACCGTGCTCTCTGAGGTCAGCAGACCAGATGCTTCTCTCAGTCCCAGAAACCCGTCGTAAGCTCAGAGGTGACAGGGCTTTCTCTGTTGCAGGTCCACGACTGTGGAATGAGTTGCCACTGAGTGTCCGGCAGGCTCCCACACTCTCAGTCTTTAAGTCTTGCTTGAAGACCCACTTCTATTCTCTTGCCTTTAACACGGTGTGATTTGTTTTGGTCCTGTCTGTACTCTACACTGTTGGCCATTTTAGTTAGCTTCTGTTGCCATTTGTATCTGTATTTTTATTTTATGTTTTCCTGTCCGCTGTGCATGTTTGTTTTCTTTTGTACAGCACTTTGGTTGGCCTTGTTGCTGTTTTAAGTGCTCTATAAATAAATTGGTATGGTATGGTATGGTTATTGTTCCATATTTTCCCAACAGAGCACTTTGCTCTCAGGCTGCAGGTTTACTTGTGGTTCATATAATTTACGAAAACAGAATGGGAGGCAGATCCTTCAGTTATCAGGCTCCTCTCTTGTGGAACCAACTTCCAGTTTCTGTCCGTGAGGCTGACACGTTATCCAGTTTTAAAACTAGGCTTAAGTCTTTCCTTTTTGCTAAATCCTATAGTTAGGGTCGGTTTGGGTTTCCTGAGCTGTCCCTTAGTTATGCTGCTATAGGCTTAGAGTGCTGGAGGACAAACTGACCACACTTTTCACTCTGCTACCGTCTTTACTTACTCTGCTCAACCTGTTTTGTATTTGTAATTATTTTTTCTATCCTTAACATGTGTTTGTTTTGTCTTTCAGGTACACCTGGACCTATATCTGGACCTACCATTCTGTGTTCATTTGTCTCTCCTTCCTGTTCTCTCAAACCAGCCGGTCAAAGCAGATGGCCGCTTGTCCTGAGCCTGGTTCTGCTGGAGGTTTTTTCCTTTTAAAAGAGAGTTTTTCCTTTCCACTGTTGCCACTGTGCTTGCTCAGGATGGGAGACTGCAACGATGCCAAGATTCAACTTGTCTGCTGGATTCCTTAGATAGAGAATTTTACTAATTGGCTTTTATGTATGTGAATGTTCCTGTAAAGTGCCCTGAGACAACTTTTTTGTGATTTACTGCTATATAAATAAACTGAATTGAATTGAATTTATCTTACTGTTCAACACAGACAGAGTGAACCCCACAAAGAAAAAGAGTAAAATCAGAAAAGACCAAATGGTGGAAGATGAAGAAGGAAGAATGTTGTGAGAAATTCAGACAGGAGCAGTTAAAAGCTCTGGGTAGTAAGAAAGAGCTTCCAAATGACTGGGCTACTACAGCAACAGTAATTACAGAGACAGGTAGGAAGGTACTTGGTGTGTCATCTGGACAGAGAATAGATGATAAGGAATCCTAGTGGTGGAATAGTGAAGTGCAGGACGCTGTTCAAAGAAAGAGGTAAGCCAAGAAGAAATATGACAGTGAGAGCACTGAAAAGAGGAGACGGGAATATGAGGAGATGGGATGTAGAGCAAAGAGAGAGGCAGCAAAGACAAAGCAGAAAGTGTATGATGAGTTGTATGTGAGGCTGCACACTAAAGAGGGAGAGAAGGACTTGTACAGATTGACAAGACAGAGGGATCAGGATGGAAAGGATGTGCAGCAGGTTAGGCTCGTTAAAGATAGGAATGGTATTGTTCTAACAAGTGAGGAAAGAGTGACGGGAAGATGTAAGGAGTACTTTGAGGAGTACTGTGTGTCAGTAAAATAAAGTCATGAGGACCCACCCCCTAAGAGAGACATGTATTGGGCAGCTATGCGAGCGCCTGAATGTGACAAGGCTAAATGTTGTTGGCAGCAGGAAGCCTGTTAGCCTGTCAAAAAAATAAAGTACAAATTAGCCACAGCATTATATAAGCCGCAGGGTTCAAAGCCTGTGAAAAAAGTAGTGGCTTATAGACCGGAAAGTACAGTATATGACTCCATTCGGTTACCTGAACTTAATAATAATAATAATGTCTTATGTATTGTCATCATTGTATGTTCTCATACAATAGCAAAATTGGCTCTCTGCTTTTAACCCATCCACCACCAGGTGGAGCAGTGGGCAGCTATGGAAAGCGCCCGGGGAGCGACTGGGGATAAGATGTCCTGCTCAGATACACCACGAGATGTGAAATAAAACACCACGAGATGTGCAATGACCAGGGATCAAACCCAGGACCTTCGGATTAAAGGATATTTAAGCACAATGTTGCCTCATCATTTATGGTTTTAAGTTGAACAATAACCACATTTTACCTCCAACTTCTAACACACCTCAAAAATAATCAAAACAACTTCACTCCAATGTAAACTGTTAAATTTTTATCACATCTAGATGTAAACAGACGTCAGTAACACTCGCCTGCGAGGCACATAAAAACATGTGAATTGTCTAAAGGACACTTTCACCTTACTGAGAAGAAAAGTGAGGGGAGAACCCGGCATCAGATCAACAACTTAACTGAGAACAACTAGTTCAACGTGTGATGATTTCTCTTGTAGACAAGAGGTAGACGATGACACATCGTTGGCCATACATATATGTGTCAAGTTGCGAGTCATTTTGGAACAATGGCAGCTGGAGGACATCGCCTGTAGAAGAACTGGAAGGCAGTGTGTTTTCAGGGACCATAATGACCTGCTGACTGACTTTGTATTTAACTCTAACCCTAACCCGTGCCAGCTGTATGAGACGACCTCATCCATATGATGCTCTAACATATCAGATGTCCCTCCACTGCAGCTGAAACACTTGTTTATGTGCAGTGACTCGTTCCTTGACATCAAATATTTATTAAATTAGTCTCCAAGTTCCATCAACCTCTCGAGTGCCTCTGTGTTCACAGTAATTGTCATTAAACACAACTAAAGTTTAAAATGCCTCAGCCTCAGAAGTGCACCGCCAGCAGATCAGCGCTCCCCCAGTTCACTTCATTTACAATATTAATGCCTATTTCACGTACAGTGTCTAACGTTACAGGATGAGAGGTGATGGTCAGTCGTCCTTCACTTGACTCTTGACACCTTTCTGTCTGACCATTCAACCTTTATGCTACTTCTGCAGGAGTGCGTTGCTATGCCAATCACAGCATCACACGCACATCATCACTCTTCTTTGAGCATGAACGCCAAACACGTTTTTACTGCACACTACTTATTTAGGACTCACATTCTATGAAATTCCTATTTTTTCTGCATCTAGCCTTCATTTTAGATGGATAGATGAATTACAAATGTTGGAAATATATCTGCAGCTTCTTTAATTTACCAGTGAAACCTATTGAAACATAAGTCTTACTAAATTTAAACACTTCATTAGAAGAAAAAGGATAAAGAAGCATTCTTTTTTTATCAAGAGAATACAGCTTCACTGATTTGGCTTCAATCACAGCAGAAAAGCAGCAGTCAAACAGTTCCTCTGAAATTTATTTACACTTTTTATTTACACTTTTTATTTACACGTTTTCAGTTCTAATTTTATTACATTTTTATTGCTGCATAACATATTAGAATCCTTTGTATTATTTTTAGTTTATGCAAAACAAAATTTGAACTTTTGACATTGTCATACTTGTTTAATTGTTTTAAATCTTTAAAGCTGCTTCGGGTCGACATATTCAACAGTAATGTTTTTATTGTCTGCGACAGAAATTAGGAGAGATTATAGCTGAAAAATATATCAATACGTACTCTGTCTTAAACTATTAGAGTCAAAGTCTGTTAGCAAAATATTTCATGAACAATTGGATAGATTTGAGTAATTAATGGATGTCTACAACTTTTGGAGTTAACTTGAATGACGATGGCCGCCACAGCTAATCAACAATAGCAAACACAACACTGTTGATTTTATAAATAATAACTAAAGTCTGAGGAAGTGGTGGTTCAGAGGTTAGAGAAGGTGGGCCTGTGATCAGAAGGTTACCGGTTCGACTCCCTGGACTGACAACATCAAAATGTGGGTGAAAGGTGAAGCACCCACACCTGCCTCCACCCTCATTTGCTGCCCTAGATAGCAGCTCTCTGCTCCACACCGAGGGCTGTGGTAGCTCGGTGGTCTGAGGTTGTATCAGGAAGGACATTTGACGTAAACATAATTGCCAAGTCTTCATGTGAGTTAGTCCACTGTGGCAACTCATGAACCAGGGAGCAGCTGAAAGCAGAAGTAAAAAAAAAACTAAACTAAAAAACTAAAATCTAGTGTGATAGTAGCCGAAAGTCCTCCCTGACTCATACTCCAAGAACTAAGTGATAGCCCAAAATTTGACCCAGATTGCTGCAGGATAACTCCATGATACTCTGCCATGAAAGGTAAATGGTAAATGGTAAATGGTAAATGTACTTATATAGTGCTTTTCTATCTTATTTCAAGATACTCAAAGCGCTTTACACTACAATCTGTGTCCTCATTTACCCATTCATACAGCACTCTACTAGATCTCTACAAAGCTAATTGAGCAAATCATTCTGACACTAATCAGAGCTTTATCACATTCATACACCGATGGGACACACATCGGAGGCAATGAGGGGTTCAGTGTCTTGCCCATGGACACTTCGGCATGTGACTGCTGGTGGATTAGAACCCCCAACTCTTGCATTGGAGGACGACTGCTCTAACCACTCAGCCACAGCCACCCCCACAGAAGGTGGAGAGCGATTCTTTCAAGGACTGCTTGGGCTTTCACTGCTGCAGCATCTTTGGACCCGTTGGACCAACATCACTTCAACACATCAACATGCAGTTTGCTTGAACCTGCTGCTCCTCGGCCAGCCGAGCACGGGCCGCCTGGGTGGAGCCCTCCAGAATCCCCAGCTCTGCCCGGCGGGAGTCACTGCTCTCACTGGGGGTGGTGGACTCCACGGAGCTTGCTTGGAAGTTGGACACACGCTTCGACACACAACCGCTTAGATCTTCAACTGAAACAAGTGGAAAAAAAACACAGAGGGATCTCACTCTGACACAGTTTCCTGAGACCATAGAACAGCTGGACACATTGTGTCTATTTCAAACAGAATCATCAGAACTAGAAGCATCAGTATGACGAAAGATCATGAAGAACGTTAGAGACAGCTTGGAATAATTATTGTATTATTAATTAATTTTATTTTTAACAATTAATTTTCATTATAAGATGAGAAGAATCCTTATTTTCCAGATCCCTTTCTTCCAAATGTCAGTGTGGAGATGAGCTCTCTCACCAGCCTTGAAGCTCTCTTCGTCTGTGGTGATGGCTTCAACAGCAGGCTGGCGCAGAGGCACTGTGGCAGAGGAGTTTGAGTAGATCATGTCCAACAGAAACTTCTTGTCATCAGACAGTGTGCTGCACTGCCGCTGCACAGACAGGGCTGCAAACGTGACCACACACATGGACCCACACACCGTTTTAATTTAAAGTCCAACACCCACCATGTTTCTTACCCAGCAAAATATGACAGATTCTGTGGCAAACATTGAAAAGTAATGCAAACTGGTTTTAGAAGCACAGTTTTTGTAAGATACCAAGCGGTTTCAGGCACAGCTATGAAAACAGCCCCTTCACTTCAATATAAGGAGTGTGATGTAATGCCAGGAACCTGATCATGCAAGACATACATATTTCTATTGTACAAAGTTACAGTCAATTGTTTACTTCTAATTTCTGGTAAGCATGTTTGTTGCAGGAATAAAAACATGCCAAATTGGTGTGTTGCACTGACCTATGGGAATACAGCCAAAGAGAGTTAGAACCCATTTCCCCCAAAAATTAAGGAAATTTGCAAGAAATGGTAAATGGACTGTACTTATATAGCGCCTTTCTATCTTATTGAGACACTCAAAGCGCTTTACACTTCAATCTGTGCCCTCAATTACCCATTCATGCAGCACTCTACTAGAGCTCTACAAAGCTAATTGAACAAATCATTCTAAAGAGACAAATTTTGTGATTTATCACATTCATACACCGATGGGACACACATCGGAGGCAACAAGGGGTTCAGTGACTTGCCCAGGGACACTTCGGCATGTGACTGCTGTGGGGTTCGAACCCCCAACTCTTGCATTGGAGGATGACTGCTCTAACCACTCAGCCACAGCCGCCCTTGGGTGATATTTGTCAAAGTAAAAAGGGCAGGATAACATAGTACTCTGTTTCCAGACACTTTCCAGACACAGAAGCAATGTCTTCAACACAATGGTACTTCTTCTAGATATTAACCTGTCAATAACGGTGTACCACAAGGCTCAGTCGTAGGACTCTTGCTCTTTACAGTTTATATAAGTAATGTAGGTCAGAACATTCCTGATGTCTCCTAGCACCTCTGTGCTAACAATACAGTTATTTACTGTCGAGCTAAAACAGTTGCCAAGGATTTCCAGTTTCTACAGTCTGCATTTGATATCATTCCTTCAGACTTGTTCTGTCTCAAACTGGTGCTAAATGCTGATAAAACCAAAGAAATGCCGTTTTCAAACTGAAAGTTGGTGCAAGCAGTCTTCCCTTCCATCTTATCCACACATGGTGCTCCTATTGAGTTTGTGGATTCTTACAAATACTTGGCAAATGGAATGGACTGTACTTATATAGCACCTTTCTATCTTATTTCAAGATACTCAAAGCTCTTTACACTACAATCTGTGCCTCATTTACCCATTCATACAGCACTCTACTAGATCTTTACAAAGCTAATTGAACAAATCATTCTAAAGAGACTAATCAGTGCTTTAGATCACATTCATACACCGATGGGACACACATCGGAGGCAATGAGGGGTTCAGTGTCTTGCCCATGGACACTTCGGCATGTGACTGCTGGTGGATTAGAACCCCCAACTCTTGCATTGGAGGACGACTGCTCTAACCACTCAGCCACAGCCGCCCACTTGGAAATTTTGGTTGATGCACATCTACTGTATCTTTTGAGCCACATGTCGAAAATTTGATAAAGAAGCTGAAATTAAAACTGGGTTTCTTTTTCTGAAATAGATCTTACAGAACGCCAGGAAATGCCTTGTAGCTGTAACTTTCATACCGGCCATTGATTATGGTGACATTGATGTGAATGCCCCTGCCTGTACCTTGCAGATGTTAGATGCCGTCTACCGCAGGCTCTCACACTGGTACGTCTTCATCTATACAGTATATCATTCCTTGGTCTGCTGCCTTCTTATATCTCCATGTCACATTGTCAGTGCAGTTACAGTGTGCTCTCTCAGGTCATCATTAAACTGCAGCATTCCCTCATTACGGACTGAACTTGGAAAAAAGGCCTTCTCTTACTCTGCTCCTGTTTCCTGGAACACCTTGCAACAAGATCTGAAGCTGTCCACTTTGATTTCCTTAAGGGATTTTAAACGATTGATAAGGTCGATAAGCGTAATCAAAGCAAATGTTCCTGTTTTTAGTATTTTACCTCGTCAGCACCTTGATTAGAATTTGTTTTAACACTACTTTTTATTTTATTTGCATTTTATTGTTGCTTATTGTTGTATGTACATTATATGTGGTTTTATCTAAAACAGGTCTTTCTTGAAAATGAGTCCTCATGACTCAATGAAACTAACCTGTATAACCTCCACCATAACCCTCAGCACTGGCTCCCCTCAGGGCTGTGTGTTGAGCCCCCTCTTGTTCACTCTGCTCATGTATGACTGTGTACCTACCCATCCAGGCTGTCACATTGTAAAGTTTGCAGATGATATAGCAGTGGTGCGGTGATGGGATGCATAACAAACAGCGAGTCCAGCTACAGACAAGAGGTGGAACACCTGGAGAGCTGGTGCAGGAAGAACAACCTTCACATCAATGTGAAGAAGACGAAGGAGATTGTGGATTTCAGAAGGAACAACCCCCCCCCCCCCCCCCCCGAATACAAGAGGATCCGCGGTGGTAGTCTCCAGCTACAAGTACTTGGGTGTGCACCTGAATGACAACCTCAGCTGGGGCAACAACATTACCAGCCTGATCAAGAAAGCTCATCACAGACTCTACTTCCTCAGGCAGCTGAGATGAGCTGGTCTGGGAAGCTCAGTCCTCACCACCTCCTACAGGTGTACAGTGGAGAGTATCCTGTGCTCCAGCATCATCGTGTGCCATGGAGGCTGCACAGCTGCAGAAAGAAAAGCTTTGCAGAGAGTGGTGAAGGCTGCACAGAAGTCTGATGGAGTCAGCCTCCCCACCATCATAGACATCTACACCTCCAGATGCAGGAAGAGAGCCACCTGCATCATAAAGGACCCCACTCACCCAGCACACTCACTTTTTGCCCCACTCCCTTCAGGCAGAAGATTGAGGAGCATTAAGTGTAGAGCCACTAGACTGAGGAACAGCTTCTACCCAGAAGCTGTTAGACTCATGAATCTCTAACCAAGAAAATCATTGTTGTAGCATTCATCCAAGGCCTTATCAGAAACAAACCGTCCTTAGCAGGGACACTGCGTCACATGCTACCTTTTCTGTGTGTGTTAAACCACACCTGGACCACCCTGATATACAGACTACAATCCTGGAACCCCCTCTGTATTAAGTAACCCTCTATTCTGAGTGACCAAGAATTTGTGTTCCTTAAAAATAAATCTTCAAAGAACTTCACTTGTCCTTATTAACAGAGACTGGTTGCTGTGTCAATGAAGGAAGTTAATATCAGTTGAACAAAGACTGAAAGACACCACTGTTTTTACAGTTTTTCGTTAGGATCAAACTTGCATTTTGTTGAAAGAGATGTAAGACAAGGTGTCCCTCTTTAACAAAGGGCTGTTGTAATTGTCTTCTCTGGGACTTTGAGAAGGGAGGTATAATTACATCAATTACACAGTCAGGTTACACCCACTGTGAGAGCACTCTGATTGGTTGGAAATTAGGGGCACAATCGTCTGAGGTTTCAGGTAAACAGGACACCAAGTCAGTTGTTATGGAGCAGCTGAGCTGAGCAGTGTGTTCAAGCTGATGGTCAAAACAGTTGCTGAGGAGAGTCGCAGATGAGACTCAATGAAAAGCGCCCATGATGAAGAAGTTGTCCTGGTGGAGAGTTGGCTCAGCGTCAACCCAGAAGTCCTAAAAGCTCAAACACCCAGGAGCGAGAGGGTACATGCCGAACGGACCGCAGCACTGAGAAACAAAATCCTTCTTGGAAGAGCAGGCCACCGGCTCTTCCCGAATCCACCGTGGTAATGAGAGAAATATGGCATCTTCTGGTAGAACAGAACATCTTCCTTCTGATGAGAAAACAATGCTAAGTGCCAACTGAGTTAGTTTAGACATGATTAGTTCATGAATCTGAGATGAGCTTACCTAAATTTTAACATTAAGAGCTAAAACCCTTAGTCCAAATTGAATCTATACTCCTTCTCAAAGTCTTCATATTTACATCATTCACTTTCTGAAATAATACTATTGGCTGTTCATTCATATTCCATATTTGCCATAATTTTCATTGTCATCATTCAAACTGAAAATAAACGTTAGAGAATTGTGTCTTGAAATTACCGGATTCTTTGTTTTTCTTCAAGGGAGAGGAATTAAGTTTGCTACAAGAATTCACAAATGTGAATGACAATGAAGAAAACCTTGACCTTGACCTAAAAGTTGAAAAAGTTTCCACTCATTATCCAAGGATTATAGGTCAGTAATAATGTAGGTATTTAAAGGAAAGTTTAAGACCAGATCAAGGAAAGATCCGGGGCTAATTATTCAGGCAGATCCACCGTGCACAGGGATGGGGAAACCTGAAAGATCAGACACTATGAGCCATGTGAAGAGGGTGCACACATAGACAGTGAGGAAACAGGAAGTTTTGCAGGAAATACATTTGGAAATTTTAATTTGTGTCAAAAGTACAGACTTCAAACAATAAACCAGTTCTATTTCGTATAGGCTTCGCCCTTTAAGGCTGTCGCTTAGTGGCTTAGTGGGTTTATCCCGTTATGCGTAGCATTTGCACTGAAAAATTTAGTCCATGCCCACCTGCTGTGTGAGCCCCACCCGGTCCGTATAAATTACGTTAAGAGCGGGAAATCGGCTCCCATTTTTTCTTCAACGAGCTAATAGCACTGTCAGAAGAACAAAGAAGGAAAATTGTGTAGATGACCAACCTTTGTTAAGGATGCTTGGCCCGGCAGTCAACCTCCGGTCGTCCGGTGAGTTCTCCTCCCCGAGGAGAAGCTGACGAGCAGTCTTATTTCAAGGTAAGCGTCGAGGAGTATTTCTCAGTGACAGGTCACTACACGCTGGACAACGCCATCTTGTAATTTTCCTCTTATCGCCGACCCTCGGAGCGAATCGGATGGTTCCTCCGGGACAGGCGGCGCTCAGCTGCAGCCCCCCGCTGCTCATTCCCTCCTGGAGAGCATAGTGTCGGTGGAGGGGGGC